TATATATATATATATATATATATATGTATGTATATATATATATATACACCATTAGTTTATGTATGCCATTGGTGCATTTCTTAATTCGTGATTGTTTCCGTACATTAGAAATAAGAAATTAAGGAGATTAGAAGACTTACCACTTTTCTAATAAGAGGCTCTAGGGCTGAACAAAGATTGTTCAAGGAGTTCACCATAATCACTTCTCCAATCACGCTGAAATTGAAAAACAAAATTAAATAATAATACATAAGATACAAGTCAGGCAAAAAAAAAACAAGAAAGTCCCCATCATAATATCCATAAAATCTCAACTTCAAAGAAAGCGCAACATATGCATGAAAGGCAATTCAAAAAAGCACATAAAGAATCGAAAGGTGAAACCAAGAAGATCGAATTCAATTTCAGACGACGTACGAGGCAAAGGACGGTCTGGATTTCATCCGTTTCTCGGTCGGTTTCTGGAGATCCGAATCAAAATCTTCGAAAAACCTTTTCCCGGCCATGGATTATATATAAAATCTTCAAGAAGAGAGATAGAGAGAGAGAGAACCCAAGATGGGAGGAGTCGAGATGAGCTAGGGTTTATATGCGAATACGCAATTGTCAAAGTGAAAAAAAAAATGGAGCGTTTATATAAAAGGACGAAATGGCATAATGGTAATAATGACGATTGTAATAATTTATAAGAAAACGGAGAAAGTTCCGAGAATGGCAAAGGAAACAACCTGGCAAGCACACCCAGGCAATAAAAAGTTCACGGAGCGAGATGATGACGTCATACACACGATTGACTTTGACGTCAACTAACGAGAGAGAGTCTTACGTGGATTAATACAGACCGTTTAATTTTTCCCCGACAGATCTAACGGTTGGAATTAGTTAAACTGTTAAAAGCATTACACGTGTCACGCCTAAATGCACCATTAGATCCGGTCCGGCCTCGAAGAAATCTACATTAAAAAAACAAATATTTAAAGATACACTTATTATATATATGGGGTGATCTAGAAATTTTATCTAAATGAATATTATTAATTAAATTATAATTAAAATGTCATTTTTAATTAGATGTATATTTTCTTTATTACACATGCACCTATATATACATTTATACGCACAAAAATTATAGATGCATAGACAGGACAGAATTTAAAAAATATTTTTGAACGCAATATACATATATTTTTTGTTGTGGCAAATGATATTTTTACATATGCACCAAGCCAAGGTATGGTGCAATCGCAACGTGTCAAGAAGATATGTGTTGCAGAAATTTTATATTTGTCTTTATTTATTGTGATGGCGGGATTTTTGTGAACGATATTATACAAATCAAGAAGTCTAACTTTATTGATAAGCTTCACTCTCTATCATATAAACTATTCGAACAATTATGAATAATATGTATGCAACGATTACTAGTATATTATTTTGTTCAATCCTTTTATAAAAGGTCATATATATATATATATATATATATATGTATTATAGGAATGAAGGTTTTTTGGTCAAATTTTTATATTGTTGCTTACAAAAATAAATATTTTGTAGATAAATCCTAAATCAGTAATTTAATCTTTCGCCGACCATATGATACATATAAGATTTGATTCTTAATTCTTATAATTTATAAATTAAAATTTAATTGCCATTGTTAGATGATAAAAAAATGTAAATCATCATAATTTTTATGGATGCCTAAGAATAAAAAAGATTAAATGAGATATTATCTAATAACATTCTCTTTTCTTTTTTCGGGAAATAAATATTCTACATATGATTATTTTTTCTACTAACGATTCTACATATGATTCATTATATAACGGATATGTGAAAGTGTGGTCATAGACTAGTGAATAATTTCCAAGAAGGTGCTGCTCTATCTAGTCTCTTTCACACTCCCAATTAAAAAAAAAACATTATCGCAATAAAAAATTATTTTTTGGAAATCTAATTTTAATTTGAGAATTTCTAGGAAGCATACAATGTATAGTTTAAATGAAACGTTGAGAAGATCATTAAATGGTTAGCCTTTTTTGGCAATGAAATGATTAGTTTTAGAGTATTATTGTGCACTTAAATATTAAAAATTTCTCATAGCCATTTATTATATTATATTTTAATTGACTTTTGCAATGTAACATAACAGAGACAAAGTTGTAGTGGGAATAGAGAAAATCTGATAAGGAAGAAAATAATAATAATAATAATAATAATAATAATAATAATAATAATAATAATAATAATAATAATAATAATAATAATAATAATAATAATAATAATAATAATAATAATAATAATAATAATAATAATAATAAAATGAGATTGCTTTGTTTCTTGGAAGCAACGGTGCCATGCAATGCAAGTTCCTTGAATTTCTTTTGTTGTTTCCCTAATTGACTCGACCGGGTCATTCTTTTTCGTTTCCAAATATCTTATCCTACATCGAATTTGGTTATTTTAATATATAATATATGCGTTGATATCCATGGAATATATATTATCCACTTTTTTAAAGGCATAAAAAAAAGGTATTTAGAGTATAAGGTCGCATCACTCAGAAAAAAAAAAAGGTTTTGAAATTGGATATTCATTTAGGATTTGAAACGTTTCGGATTTTATTTAGTTTAAAGAAAAAAGTGTTTTGAGTAGAAGGTACCAACACAGAAAAAACTTAAATTTTTGTTTTTAAAAATTTATATTCATTTAGTTAGTTGTTAGTTATTTTCGAGTAGATTGGTGGATTATATAATTTTTCAAAACATTCAAGTTTTACGTGTATTACAAGTATGGTAGATAAGTAAAATGTTTGTAAAAGACGTATTGTGAATTATTTAAGTGTTAAAGATTAGTAGGAAGATATATCTTTAATTTTGTTTATGAACAAAACTGAAAAAATGAATGGGTGACTCGTTTTTTTATAAATAAAACTGAGAAAAATGAGCGACCGTTCGAAAAATGAACGGATAGCTCGTTTTTTATGAACAAAACTGGAAAAAATGAGTGGCCACTCGGAAAATGAACGATCTGCCTGATTTTTCTGAACTATTCAAAATAAACGAAAAATCGTGACCGTTTGAAAAAAAAACTTTTGATTTCTTTACACCTTTCGACTTTTTAAGTGTTAAAAATACTTCTAGACATCTTAACACAGGGCATATGAGATCTAAATGGATTTTGAGAGATTTATTAGCCATTTTAAGGAAGAAACTTACTACTTATTTGTATCTCTAAACGTATTCTCGGGTTTTTCTTTGCTCGATAGAGAGGGAATAACGTTTTAGAAAAGTGGAACTACGCCTAAAATATCATCACATCCGAGTTCATCTATTATTTTTCTTTTCCGATTATGATATTCTTGTATTTTTTTCTAATTGTATCCAGATCCATTTTCTAACATTAGTCGGATTGAATTCAGTTTTCAGAAAAAAAATATTTAGAAAAACAGTATTTTTATTTTCAATAAATTTATTCAATTATTTTCGTATTGATTTTAGAGTTTTTTTAATTTACTTTTTGAAAATTCATATCTATTATTACGAGAAATTTTCGGTTCAATTCCCACCATTAACTAAAAATATTCGTATCCTAATATTCTTTTTTGAAAAAAAAGATTTGTATATATTTCTTGGCATAACAAGTCGAATACTTTAAATAACAACGAGTTTTCCTTATGAAATGAAGTATCAATCCATTGATAATCTTCCCTGAACCGCAGCTCAGAATATCATAAATTTTCTCTTTTTTCTCTTTACATTTTAAAAATCAATCACATTGATCTCATTGATCAATTTCTACACGTTAAACCCCAGAATGTCACATATTAAATTCTAATAATAGATGAAACAATAGATCCTTTAATTTGTACTCCCAAATATAAAAAAAAAACGGCCAATAAAATATCATACATTTCCCCTAATTAAAAACCCATAATCTTAGGAGCAAACAAAATGAATCTATTCAACGACCTTTCATCAAACTTCCTCGCGAACAAGTAGCAAATCTCAGTCGTTTCTCCATTGTACGCACATGTCTTCTCGCTCTTCCTCAGGCCCCTCAGGAAATCCACGGTCACCAACGGTCTCGTGTACGTCCTCGGATGGGGCCCACCCCTCGACCAGTCCGTCCACGTCAGACTCCTGTTCGCGTTCTTGCCCGGGAACTTGATGTGGACGAACGTTGGAAGGTAATGCTCGTCGGCGTAGCAACCGCCATGGCAGTGTTTCTTGAAGAGAGGGAAGTAAGTGGTGTCGGATACCACGGCCAGGGCCAGCTCCCGGTCCATCTCGAACCACTGAGACCCTTTTCGCCACTCGCGGAGCGTGACGAGAGGGGCCATGCGGCGGCTGTACCGGCCCTGACCGGTGGGCCCATGGTCATCGAACAGGTCGACGAACGAGTGGTGAGAGTTGATGAGGTGAGAGTAGACGGTGGAGAAGTCGAAGATGGGGACGCCGGCTTCGGACAGGAGGACGAACCGGCGGTTCGAGGAGTCGAGGAGGGCGTTGGCCAGTAGCCGGCGTTCTGCCTCCATCAAGCTAAACTTCCCCCATTCTACTTCCTTTGTCACATGTCAATGAAAAGAAAGCTTGGTTTGCGTTTTGATTGGGTAGGATTTGGTGAATCTTTTTTTTTTATAAAATAAATTTTAATGATGTTTTGTCGTTAAATGTTAATTTATTAGTCGATTTTTTTAGTTCACAGGATAACTAGGATTTTGATTTGGAATCTCGCAGGATTAATCTACCATTAGATTTCCTAAAGTTTCTTTTTAAAAAACAAATCAAGCAATTTAGTTAAATAACTCAAGCAAATTTACTTAATACCGAAAATTTTACTTAAATGTTAATTTACTTAATACCCACGTCGTCTCTAAAAATTCATGAATTTTTTTCATATGTTAAAGCTCGAGGTCTATGAATTATTTTTGTGCAAATTGAAGAATTTTTCTATCAAATTATCCAAGAAGGTATATATAAATTAAAAATAAATAAATAAACGAGATTAGGCGAAATGGACAGACCTTGCTGGGAATTCTCCGGCGGTAAAACGGTGACGTTTCGGGGGTGTCGTGGTCAACGTGACGAGGATCGCTCGTATGAACATAGATGGAATAAAAACCCTCGTGGCCCTTGAAGAACTTCTCCCAAAACGGAGCAAACGGGAGCCTCCCCCTCGTCAAGAACAAGAACGCGATTTTCGGCGTCTGAGAAAACGGCGTCTCCTTCCTCTCCGGCTTCATCGACGCTCGCCACAGAAGTTCCTCGTCCGTCATGCCGTGCATCACGTTCTTCGGCTCCACAAAATCCCGTAACCCGACCCGAGGCTCCTCTGCGGCGTTCGGAGCCGCAGGGCAAGTGCATTGTGGCGGTTGCGGTGGGGATGAAGGAGGAGACTGGGAGGCATAAGACAAAAGTGACAACTGGAGATTCGAAGAGAGGCTTTTCGTGTGGGAACTAAGCATGACTCCGAGGCCGAATCCGATTCCGACGAGAAATGAATAGAACACGATGTCATGGAATATTCCTTGACAATTTAATATTTGGTTTTGCTGATTCGTTTGGTTGTTTTTCTTCATCTTTTGTTATTATTTCGACGGAATTTTTTTAAAAAAAATGATTGGAAAATTCGAAATCTCGATTAGTCTTTCGGGTTTTTGCAAGAAAAAAAAGGGTTCAAGGCATTGCAAGAGAGAAGGTACATTGCATGTGGTTTATACTTTGGTTTGCATGATGTGACAGAATAAGAAAATAAATGTCTGTTTTGGACAACTGTGAAATTCATCCTTTTTTAAAATTTTATTACCTAAAATTGTTCCTGAAAAAATGTCGTCGAATACATAAAAGGAAATAAAACTAATCATAAATTCAAGTTAGTGGGATTTTTTTTTCTGGCTGAATTGATGGAAAATTAAGGAGATGATAAAAGGAAATAAAACTAATCAGAAATTCCTTTTTTCTGTTACATTTATTTATTTATTTATTGGATAGTTGTGAAACATATATAATACTATTTTTTTGATAGCGATTATGATGTTTGGATTCTCATCCTAAAATGGCGAACATGCTTTTTTTGGGGGGGAAACACGGTTTGTAATGAAAATAATGAAAAATAAATAAATAAATAATTCGCTTTTCCTAAATCATTTATTCTTTGTTGGAATTTGGGCTTTTATTTAGACAATCAAAACCGCCATGCCCATGAAAACTTTTTACATAATTCTCGAATCACTATAATATAATCCAATCATAACAATTAGTTGAATTGCGGTGGGAGAGAAAGAGATAATGAAATAAATATTAGCCACAAAATGTAGTGAACCATACACTAATCATTTATTTAACTAGATGTAATTATTCGTAACCTCAGTTTATAAAATTTGTACTCATAATTCCGCCGTAAAAGAATGAGATAAATTACATGCTATAGTATTTGCATATTGGTCTTTACATTATAAGGATATACATTTAGATCCATAAATCTTAATTAGACCACAAATCAACAAATGAAAAATAGTACACAATATATTGATGTATAATATGGTATGCATCGTTCCACATGATTATCTAAAAATAATTAACCGAACAACGTTCTTCAATCCGATTTATCACTCTTTTAATCTTTTTGTATCGTATAAATTCCACGTGTTTTATATTCTGTTCTGTGTCATTCCTGAATTATTTTGATATACCTACCGACTTTTTTTTTATAAACGATTCTAGTGTATCAAAATCTAAACTAATCTAAGGGTCGAGAATTATGTAATTTGGAATATACATTATGTCTCCAAATTTAAAGTTCGAATTCAAGAGGACACATACAATTTTCACTCCCATTTTTTTTTATTGGTTGAGCTATTAAGATTTAGATTTTTTTATTATTATTTATATATTCGCATTTAAATGGAAAAAAAATAGAGAGAGATGATAAAATTTTATTTCTATCGTTAGAAAAAGCTAATGGAGCAAAATTCAAATGGTCTTGTTTCCTCGAACTCCTCGCTCGATGTTGTCCGGTTTTCCAAAAGTACGCAGAAAATATTTGTCTTCGTTCACACATGGTTTTGGACCTCTCCTTTTTTTTTTTCCAAAACTAATGTCGGGATTTAAGAAATTAAAAGGATTTTTTATGATATATTTTTCTTTAATATTATCTTTTTGGTGTTTGTGAGTAAAAGAAGGAGTTTTATAAAACCATTTATTTGATAATGAAAATGTGAATTAATACGTGATATATATACTCTAAAACCATTGAGAAAACCGATAACTAAAGTGGAAACGAACATCTTCATCTTTTTCTTTTTTCTTGATCTTTCTCAAAAGTCAAAACCGGCCTAAACCAAATCCGGAAATATAAACCGGAGGACACTCAAAACCGGACTAAACCGAACACCGCCGTTGCCACTCTTCTTCGCAGAAGGCTTCTTCGTAACAAGCCGATACACGCTGCAGCACAACGACGGAGAAGAAGAAGACTGTTTCGACGGTGACGACAATGACGAATTTGCCCCTGGACCCGAAGCAACGAGCTCTTGCTTCTGATTCAAGTCATCTTTCTCAAAACTCTTGAGCGTTCGTCTTCTTGGACGTTTGGGCGCCAAGCTAGTGGATTTGCTTCTTGCAAGAATCGGTGACGGGAAGACGAAACCGTTCTTCGTGCGGAGGTTTAGACTCAGACTTCTCTTGAAATTATCCCGAGACGAGTTTGGATTGCGAGTGTCGGTTTTGTTCTCGTGCATGGTTGATTCGCGGACGCGATCGTTAGAGCGTTGGTCGAAGGGAAGGATCATACCGTTGGAGAAAATTTAATCTGCGGGGCAGGATTCTTGACCGGAGACCCTGCAAATTCTGAACTCGAACTCTGAATCGGGTTCCTGGAGAAGACAGTCGATGTTTCGCGATGTATGATGATGTTCGAATGACTGGGTCGGATCTCTGGAGAAAGACATCCTCGGGCTTGTCTCCGTCTCCATGCACATCGCGTGTGATAAACCCTAATCTTGATGCTCAAGAAAACAGAGGAAGGAGACTGAGAAGTGTTTCACCGTTTATAGAGGGAGAGAGACTCTTCAACCTTTCGTTTCTGAAGACGTTTTGTAATAGAATTTCGAGACTAAATTTAGTATTTATAATTTGTTTTGTTCTATAGAATATCAATTTATTTATTTATTTATTTATTCAAATCTCTATTGAATCACAGAAACCGGTACCTCAAACAACTAAAGAAAATTAGAACATTTATTCTTATCCCTCCCGCTCAGTAAAAAATTTTTTTAGATAAAAAAAAGTAAACATCTAACGTATCAAGAAATATTTATATTCTTAATATATTTTCCAACCCAACAACTTTAAAATATTTATTTTTTAAATAATTTTAAAAACTCTTTATAAATACTATAAATATTTTATTTAAATACACTAGAATGTATAGGCATGATATTTGATAGAAGAAAAAAATAGGAGGATATAAGAGTTTTTTGGTGTCCCAATAGACATTCATGATGGATTTGTATTTATATTTTCTCTATATCACTAACGACAAAACCGTATTTAATTGTATCTAATCCAATCCGTGGTGACTGAACGGTGTAGGTAGTTGAAAAGGGTTGAAAAGGGTTGGATGTCTTTAACCCAAATTATATATGTGTTCGATACACTGTTGAGACGAAGGTCGGTGAACTTTCGAATTATTAAAATATCGTATCTAAAAAGTTAGTAAAAAAATAGCAATAGAATATGTATTTTATGGTTAGCAATCTCTATAATTCAAACCTCCGATTTCAAAAGACATCAAAATCAAAATCAAACAAAGACTTTAGCAGCCGACATAATGATAAGAATCCAAAGCTTTAGGGTTTCTTTGTAAACTTTGCAAGTCTCCTTTGGGTGAATGAATGAATGAATGCGTTTGTAATTTAGTCTTTATTTTGCCCTTTTTGTCTTCGTTTCTTTCCTTTTTTTTTTGACCGTTAAAACAAAAGAAATTGACAAAAACGTATCAAATCTCCTTTTGCCAAGAAAGGAATATACCAATTTATTCGGTTAAACAAAATCTAATAAATTCAAACCGAAAAACATATAACCATATCAAAATTATATCCAATGCAAAAAAAGAACAAAACCGAAATTGTTTTCAGAATTTAAACATTTTTATCATTAAAAACTAAATCGAACCAAATCCGATATAAAAAAAATCAAGTGGGTATAAATTTTCTAAAACCGGCTCCCGAGAATAACCGAACTGAAACCCGAAAATATTAGACCTCGGGAGAGACCAAGAAATCGTTTTCAGGTACTTTGAAAAATCGATCAGACAAACGGACAAAACATTGGCTGGTTCCAAAAGCACCCAACAAAATGTTTCTCTTTTTCATCTCCTGTAACCGAATTGAAAGACGGAACAAAACTTTTTGTAACACCATCCACGTCTTGCTCCATTCAAACAATGGCATTCTACATATCCGCTTCACTATTGCTCAAGATCAATCAAATATTCGAGAATAATCTGCTTAACTCGATATAGATACTATCCAGATGTTGGTAAGCCACTTCAATATCCCAAACCCAAGAATATACTACAAACCAGACTATGATCCAATGCCCTTCGTGTCACAGAATCTGACATTCTCGATGATTCTAGCTTCAAAAATATGACTATACTTCAAGATACTCGGGTTTAATAATCAGGTTAACCGCTGCATATCGGTTACAGAGGAATGTCTGTTAACCTGACCTAAAATCAAACCAAACCAAAAGACCGAGTTTTTCAGGGGATTGATTGTCTATTAAACTCGGTCTTGAGTAACTGTGTACTTTTAGAAGAAAAGGAAACCATAAAGATCTCAACTTCATGTCTGGATTTTAAATCCAGACAAGACCCTACTAAAAATAGAAACTAGAATCACATGTTTAACTCTTACCAGAGAACATTAGGGAACGCTGACAAAGGAACTATGCACAAACTGTGAACCAAACTGTCCCTAACAACTGACAACCTTCTAGATTCCAAAACTCACCTTGACAACTGCTGTTCATGGAATCATTGGAATGAGAATCTTCTCCCCTTAGATGCCTTCAGACAACTCATACAAATCTTCAGTAGAACGATATGCTATAGACCAGTTTCCGCCTATGTTGTTTCTCGAAACCCGCTACAATATCATCGATAGAATCTTCCCAAGAATCAGTCCCTTCGATCTGCAAAAGATACAAGGGGAATATCACGACTCAAATTTCCAAAGCAACACCCTTTAAAGCCATTTCTGCATGAGTGACGACAATAAGAAAGCGGGTTCACTGCAGAAAATCAAATGGATTGTTTTCTCGGATAACAGACCTCTTGGCAGATTTCCAATGCGAGTCGGCCACCTATTGCTGCCTCTTCGTGGTTATCTTTGACTTCCAAGTTCATCACAAGTACACTTTTCATAAGGGACTGTTCTCTACCGCTAAGATCTGCAAAGTTGGGATAATATATGCCTTCCGATAAATATAGGCAAGAATATAGATAGCAAATTGGCATTTCCAATAAAACATGGCATAAAAATTGTTTATGTGAAGCACAAATAACCTAAGATTGACTTGAGTCCATAAAAAAAATGGAATAACCAATAGATATGAATCATTGGGTTGAATGTTTTGTTTTAGCCCTTAATATATTCATAATTTCTCATGACATCTCCACGAACAGTCGACTTTTGATCAATTCACACGATAACAGCAAACCTACCTAAGTTGAGCCAGTCTACCAAATGACAAAACCAAGAAATTCCTTTCTCCCTTGCGAAAAAATAATTACGAAAAATGTTTAGAAGCATCATCTAACAAAGGAGATCAAATGTATAAGATATTATGATTTCAATAAATACCATATGTTCTCTGCCGATACTACAAAAACTTTAACTGAAAACTTACAAAGGCCTTCATCAGGGGCATCGGCATAGCAAAAGGATATTCTCTCAATCAAATTAACCACATGATCAGCAACAGTCTTTTTTAAAAAAAAAAACGTAAAAAGGAAAGGTTATATTACCTTCAAGGACCGAATCAAAAACCTTTTCTTCAAATGTCATTATCACATCGAACACACCATCGGCAGCATTATCTTGCCACCGCTGAGGAGCAAGTTTCACTGATAAATTCCTCTTAAGCATCGGTAAAATCCCATTGCGCTTGTAACTGAATCAAATGGTCAAGGTATCTTAAATCGCTTTATATACACCATGCAATGCAAGCAGGCTGCAACCCAGTGACCATGTACACTCATACACCACGGGACATGAATTTCACAGATTGAATGCAAAGTAGCAACAAATCGAAGATAAATGAGTTCCCAAAGCATGCAACATTTAGGTCAAGACAACATTTTCTTCGAACCACAAGAAAGTTTCAAAATTTGGTCTCATGTGAAAAAAAAATGCATCAGAATAATATACCTCCATGGCATATTTAATACAACTAAAAAAAGAGTTCAACAGGTTTGATACATCTGACACCTTCTAACAACTACAGAGAACAAGATAGCAATGAGTATCTCACAAACAACGATCTTACTTCAGAGAAAAAATTTCGTTGAAACTCTGACGTGCAATGATAGGAAGAAACTCTGAAGTAATAAGCCATAACTCACTATAAGAGTTCATATACAACTTTACACTACAAAAGCTTATCAAACAGACGGGAAAAGGAGCTGGAAAATTGTAGGAACATAAAAAAAACCATAGCGATGCGCTTTTGCACTTGCAATTCTGTCAAGCTCAATACAGCTATAAGTTAATACATGGATCAAACTAGAGCCATGACAAGAAATGCGAGAAAATCTTGGAAACCAGAATGTCAACAATGAAATGAACAAAGCATGCAGCATCACCAATGAGCTCATAAAAAGAGGAGAAATTTCCAACATTTTCAAGTGCCCTGGTCCCCCAAAGAATGCAAGAACACAATAAAACCCAGAGGGGCAATTTAACTAATAGATTCGAATAGAGTGGTAATGGAACAGAAACAAGATATGACTCATCGAGCTGGTTGACCAAATGATGAAGGGAAGTGTTCGGGAAAATAAATCCTTTTGCTCGTTATCATCACAATAACACAGAAGACACGGGATTTAAGGTAAGGCAAATAAGAATCCTATATACTTCAAAAATATTAAATTCACTCAAAAGATAAACCTGAAAAGCAACTCGGAATCGAAGCAGTGACCGACTATAACTTAGCAATTCGAAGCAAAGCACAAGATAGTGACAAATCCGTTATGGGCAACAGCAAAAAAGGATGAAAAGGAAGCGAAACTGCAGAATCTGAGAGGGAATGTTAAGAGGATACAGTTCAGGATCCTTGCGCCGGAGATCATCGAACATCTGCTTGTATGGAGTTCCGAAGTCGTAGACGTTGGGTTCTCTAAGAGATGGACCCGGAAGCTTGACGTGAGACCCAGTTCCGTACGATGAAACGTCCAAGCCTTGTCTCTTGAGGAGAGAGTGAGCCTCCATGCTCCGGTTCTGGTTCGACGAACACACCATGGCGTACCGGAACCTCATGGCGGTTTGCCCTAGTTCGAACCGAGAGAAATTGAAGAAGGAAGACGAAGGAAACTCACCAGATCTGATCTCCGAGAATATATCACCGGCGCCGGCGTTCGAGTTTAGTGGCCGCCGCGGCGAGGGATTTCGACTTCAGGAATAAAAGGGAAAATCGATTTTACCCATAATTAAAAAAAAACAAGGAAAAAGGAGAAAAAAAGGCGAGAAAGTTGGGCCTGGGCCAAGTTTTCACAGAAACGACCGATTCACATATAAGCCCAATCCAACACTCCAAACGGTATAATTGTACTCTTGAAAAGTGAAAACTACGGCCATTTAACGGTGGAAATTACTAATTTACTGTCCGATTATATTGGTGCGCGAAAAATTACCTTCTTTTAGTATATATATCTATATAAAGTATATATAACACTCTACAATTTTTAATCAGAAGTGATAAATATTCCATAAAAAGTTGAAATATTTCAAAGCAATATGTATTACCGATGGTAAAATGAGTAAGGCCTACGAGGATTGATTCGTTTTTTATCGAGTTGGATTGAAAAAATAAGAGATCAAATAAAAACAGATCAAACGAGTCAGCTCGCAGTAAGTCCGAACTCATCTGGCTATCTCAATCAGCTCGCGAGTTGAACATTAAAAAAATATTAGATTTTCATACTTTAATTGCTTCACCTCTTCCATTTATGTAGTAAATTAAAATTCATGATATATTGATATTGTTCTATGTATTTTGTTATATTAGGTTTTTTATTTGGATATAGTTTTATGGATCAATAAGTTAGATATTTTATACTATGTTGAATGATTTTAAATGATTGTTATGTAGACTTTAAATGATTATTTTTTATATAATTTTAAATTTTTTTCGGATAATTAGATTAAAAAACGGGTTAGCTCGCGAGTCGATTCGAAGCTCGGATAATTTGGTCTGAACCAGAGTTTTTCTAATTTGTAAAAAAATGGGCCGAACGGGCTGAACCAAAAATGAATTGGCTCGAGACGAGAAATCACTAATATGTATTAAATTCATAAGATTGCTAATCTATTTTACAATTTTGTTTGTAAGCCCAAATTGGCAAATTTAACTTTGAGAAGCCAGAAAAAAAAAACTTTCAAACATCCATATCTAGAGTGATTAGTTGTAATTTGTATATAATCACAGAAATCATGCAAATACGCCAAAGTTTTCCTAAAATGTATTAGGAAGTGCAAAATCAACGTTTCATCAAATATAAAAGTAAAAAATCATTGAAAGCATTCAATTTACAAAAAATAAAATAAAATCATTCAATTTGCAATCTTCACTGAAAGCATTATTTAACTCTCTTGGTATCCATATTAATTATTCACTTTGTTTGTATATTTAAAAATTTACACAATTATCATGTCCTTTGGACTATAAAGTTTCCTACTAACGTCAAAACACGCATTCAATTCACAACAGATTTTTCTTTTTTACCAGATGTTATAATCAACGTTTAATTATTAAGAGATATTTTAAAATCTTACACATTCAAATTAATCCTCATTCATCTCTTGGGTCAACATATAAAACGATTAAAAAAAACTGATTTTAAAGTTCGAAACTCTCGTATAATATGTATGAATTCTTGAAAATAGTTTTATTGATATATTATTATATTTTTTAGGGTTAGGTAGTTTTAGTTTTATTTCGATTATCATTACTTTATTTATCTACGCACCGATTCAATTCATTTTTCATTTTAAAAACATTGATTTTCTTTTAAAAAAAAGTCTTATTGGGTTTTCATTTATTTTAATATTTAATTTAAATTCCATTTATTTTTTTTAAAGCGCGTAATAGATTTGTAGATAGAATTTTTTAAAATTGATGATTATCCATGGGGATGTAGATAAATTCATGGTTTTTAGACGTTATTTTCACTTTAAATAAAACTAAATAAATACCTATATGCATGCGTCCAAAACCAAAATCGAAAACAAAAAAGGAAGAGTTAGGCTCCAATTTAATGATTGAGGTGAAACAAAAGTTTATGGTAAATACATTTACTTCACTTCACCGAAATTTCCATTCACATACGCAACAAATTTCGGACATATAAATTTACACTGTTTGTTTCGTTCCCATGTTTGGATATTTATACGCATTTTGTTGCCATCATTACCCTCAAAGTCAAAAACAAGTTAGATTGCCTCTTAAATGCATTTTTTAAATAATGCTTTTCAGTAAAGTTTTAAAACCTTATAATATACATCTTTTTTTTAAAATCTATTTTTAATTTTGAAAAAATGTTAATGGTGATATGGTCGAACTAACTAGCGTTTGATGAGAGGGGAAAGTGCAACTACAATTGGACTTCCAACATTTTTTTTTTATTTTTATGTAGCGTTAGGCCAATAAGAAAACCGAATTGAATTTGGTTTAATTTAGATTTATCAAATTAATCTTGTTTTGAATTTGGATGTTGTTATGCATTAGAGAATATTTTGAAACCTCTCACCCGAACCAAATTCATTTTTTTTATATTGAGTAAAATTGAATTTTCGCTAAATACAATTCGAATTTGAATTATATAAATTATCTTTTCACCAATTCACTCAAATGTATAAATTTACAAAGAAATAATTTTAATTCATGGTTTTTTAGAGAGGTGAATTATTAGACCATAAAACTATTAAAGATTATGAAATTTATATATTTTTGTCGTATATGGAATATATAGAGAGAGAGAGAGAGAGAGACATGTATATCATAAGCTTTTGATTTTTCACGTCCATATGGTCTATGAAACCATTAAATGATATCCGTAAGTGCACAATGCGTGTTTAGCGGACCTTTCTATTTGCTTAACCTATTTATAGAGCACCTATACTTATAATTTATTTATTTTTATTGGAAAAAAATCACAACTCCAAGAGATTTTGGAATTTTGTCCATTATTATCTATCGAAATTATGTGGTTCAACGATAGATGCACATTTACGTTTTAGATATTTAACATAATATCAATTATCTTACAGATATAATAAAACTAAAATAGAAATAATAAAACAATACGATTTTCATATTGGTTTGAATGAACAAGCTAATATGTAATTTTATTTTTACTAAAAGGCATAACATGCACAAAAAAAAAAGAGAGACTATGCTTACGACCCATTTACATTTTATTCCGCATGAACATTAATTATACGTATATGAATTTACCATAGACGCGACGGTTTCCGTAATCCCTTTTCTGTTGTGATTTTCACTTAAATGTAAATCTCATTGTTGTTTATCACATCAATAAAAATAAATTTTTTTATTCATATAAAAACTGAATTTAATCTATAATTGTGTGGTAAAAATAGGAATTACAACGGAAGTTTGTAACACAAATGCATTACAATGATTATTGATTTTGCGTACAGTTTAAAGGGGCGACTGGTTGCACCGCCGTCACCCGCAAACGGAGCTTCCGGCGATTGAAGGTGATTAAAAAACTGAATGGTTGAACCGCAACCAACCGCAACCGCAATCAAACTTGTGTTTTCTAATCGCAGTTTCCAACTTGCATTTTGATAGCGGTTTCCGGCGTTTTAACAAAAAAACTAAAATATTTTTATTAGAAATTATATAAGACATTAATATATATATTGGTGATGATTTTGTTTAGTGTTATGATTTGATATTATTTTTTAGTATTATATTTTAATAAAAAAATACAATAGTATAATTTTTAGGTTTAATAATGATTATTTTTAATAATTTTTATATATAAAATTATTTTTTTACTTAAAAATAAATTAAATTAATAATATTTATATTTTAAATTTGTTATTTAATTATTATAAATTTAGTAAATAATTTTTATCAAATGATACGAAAAATTTAATTAAAACTATTATACAAAATTATTTTTAAATAATATTTTTTTGACAATTTATATCAAAACGCAATCGCAATCGTAATGAACCATTCACTTCTAACTGCATCCACCCGCAATCGATACCAATAACAACTTCTCAACCAGTCAGTATTAATCATTTGATTCATTTATAATCGCTATCAAACGTTTTGAAAACGCTGTCACCCGCAACCGCAACCGCTGCGGTACAACCAGTCGAACCTAATTGTGATATTAATTTACAAAACAGGTGCAAGGATATAATTTGGATGTTGCAAATTTGCAAACATTGTAAAGCACTGTATTCTTGTAACGATTTTTTTTTTTTGTTACACTTGTGCTATCTATTTGCCACAGAATCAACATATTATTCAAATTTTCAATTGCATTTGTAAAATCGTTATCTTACATTTAAAAAATTATTTAATTTGTAATGCATTTTTTAAGTTGAAAATTGCGTTGTAAAACGTATGTTATTTAAACTAAAAACTCTAGAGATAACAGTTTTGCATGAATTAGTCCTTAATTAACATATACTTAGCTTTCAAATAAACGTGTTTTGAAACCTTGTAATTTTTTGGTTATTTGATTTACCTTAACACGATGGTATTTTGTCTAAGATATTCACATCCATAAGAAGTAAAATAAAAATAACCAAGGCTAAATATAGATATTTTTATATACATTCTTTTAATTTCTAATGATAGCAAACAAGATTTGTCACCGTCTCGTATCACACACGGCGAAGTTAGGCAGTCGACATATATATGTATATATATTTGTGATTTTATCTTTAATAATATTTACTGTTCCTTTTTCATATATATATATATATATAACAATTATATAAAGAACAACTGTGTGTATATATATATATATAGTATCTAGCAACTTGAGAAATAAGTTGGCAAATGGAAATGGATCTCTGCCCTTATCTCTTACATGGCAGAGAGTCCCCCCAGACAAAAATTGGCTTTGATATTACCTCCCACCAAACCAAACCATAGAATCATCACCAATATATATATATATATATATATATATATATATACACACACGAACGATGGTTCTAGATTACAACTACTTAGGTTTTGAATTACTAAAATTAGCGTTAATTATTTAAATTAATTTACATAAATTATTAGAAAATATTCTTACTTTATTTATATATTTTAATAAAATTAAACTAATATTTGTATGTATTACAATATTATTAATGTTTGATAATAAAGTTTTTTTACATATATATCTCTCTTTCTCTCTCTATATATTATATATATATAGAGAGAGAGAGAGAGAAGATGTTTCCAAAGCAATGACAGTAGACTGCAGCATGGTCTGTGAAATAGTTAGATATCGTAATCAAGAAAACTATTGACACGGTTTTTAGAATGTTGATTCCAAGGCTTATTGTCTTTTTCTTTTTTCTTTTTTATCTCAACAGATACGTAAACCAGATAGATGCTTCGATTTTATTCGGGTTTTAGTTTGAATTTATATATTAAAAAAAATACAATTTTAATTCAATTTGTATCCTTTTTTATTTAAAATGTTGATTTTTAAATGATATTTTTCAATTTTTATTGTTTTAATATATATATATATATATATATATATATATATATATAGCATTTTATTGTATTTTCAACTCGATAAAGATTACATTAACGTTAAATACGAATGTCGACTTAGTTACACATTTGTAACGCAGATATACGTTGTGTATATAGTTAGATATTTAGATTTCACATGGACCATATATATAAAGGTGATCTATTCGAGTTAGATCGATCCACGCGGCTTTTCCATTAAATGCAGCATATATGTGTCCATACGATAATTGAAACTAATATTTTGATAAACTTGGATATATTTTATTTTATTTTTATTTATTTTTTGATACTAGAATCTATGGAATTATTGGAGACAATGGTCCACAACATGCGTAATGTTTTTTTTTTATTTACGTAGAAGAGTACAACGTGTTGTGTTCCAATACCTAATCTTTTTAATCGCCATGCACATGCCCATGCAGTGCATTCCGTAAACTCTCTATTCACAAAAGTATTATATTTCTTTAATGTGTAAGTTACGTAGAGTAAACAATAAAACTGAATAATTAATTAGTTTCAATCATAAAATTTTAGTTTCAATGCGGTTAGTAATAGTACGCCTCTTTCTCTTTATCCATATTCCAAAACTTCCTCAACGTCAACTTTGTTAAGATTTTTTTCCCAAACAATTTCATTACAAATTAAAATTAGTCTCTTAATAATATATTATAAATATCGTGTTAAAATTTTAAAAAAAATAAATAAATAAAAGCCATCGTATTGTATAAATATCAATTTGTGATATAGCAAATATATTGAGGTTTATGACATTTAATTACTCTTATACCATCAATGTTTTTTAAGTAACCCTAAAAATCATTATTAACACTTTCAAAACAATTGTAATATATGTATCACATTAAAATCCCAATAGAATAAACACATCCGAAAGGGTAAGAATGGTAAAATCAAACTGTAAAATAAATAATGAAAAACAGAATAATTAAAACGCACCAATTGGAACAATACTCGTTCGTTCCCCCTTGTAAAGAACGCGTCGGACCCACAACGAAATAATAGTGTGCACTTTGTTATTTCATTTGGATATATCTCCTGAAATAAAAATAAATAAAAAAGAAAATGGGCCCACTCAACACTCACTGCAATCCCAGAACCTTCACTTGCCACGTCACCCTCAATTTCTCCTTTTTTCTTCCGTTCAAACATTTTACATTTTAAAACAATTTTTTTTATTTAATTTTGACAAATTTATCGAACAATTAAAAAAAAAACTCATAAAGCATATCAACAACGACAAACTTCTTCTTCTTCTTCTTCTTCTTCTTCTTCTTCATCATCTTCTATATATAAGACCAAGTCACTCATCTTGTGCTTTGTTGTCTGAAAACAGTTGCTCTTCATCTTCAAAAGGATTTTCATAATCACTTTGATATAATCCAAAAACTCATCATCATCAATGGCGAATTTCTCTTCCTCGGATCTCCAGAATTTTCCAGTCGATCCCATGACTCAGTTCTCAGAACTCAACGCCATTCATTACCAAACGTTTCTCCCTTTCTCTTCTACTTCCGACCCTTTCTTTTTCCATCAAGCTCTAGACTTTCCCGGAAAATCGCCGGAAAATTTCCAGGGTATTTTCCTTCCGTCCAATCAGAACCAGCCCATGATCTCTGTTCCTTGCATCGCAAGCAAAGACAACGAGTCTTCGATGATCTCGAACACGGAGTCGAAGAAGAGAAAAGCAAGGGCTGATCTTTCCGAGACCAGTGGCTCCGAAACCCTTTCGAGTTCTGTCCGTATTTCCCAAAATGGAAAGGTTCCGAGAAAACAAGTAAACACTCAGCTTCTGTTTCCGAATCTAAACACTTTCCAAGGTTTCTATTTATGGAATAGAATCATGAGATTGATTAAATAATCGTTGTGATGAAGCAGAGTTCGAGAAAAGGGAAGAGATCGAAGAGCATCGGCAAAGAAGAAGACAAAGAGAGAGAAGTTGTTCATGTCAGAGCCCGGAGAGGCCAAGCCACTGACAGCCACAGCTTGGCTGAGCGAGTATAATTTTCATTTAAACCTAATAAATACATTTTCTGTATTTATATTCAAACCTTATGAAAATCATATAATTTATTAAGAAATATATTTGTTTTTGTGTGTGTTGTGTGAATTTTCCAGGTTCGACGAGGGAAAATAAACGACAGACTGAGATGCTTGCAAGATATGGTTCCCGGATGTTATAAGGTGATTATTATAACATATATATATGTATGTATATATTTGTATCGTTTTAATGTTGAAGTTATATTGAATTTTAATGTTTTATGAACTGGTGCAGACCATGGGAATGGCTACAATGTTGGACGAGATAATTAATTATGTCCAATCTTTACAAAATCAAGTCGAGGTTAGTGATAATGGAACAATATATATATATATATATATATATATATATATATATATAATAAATTGTGAATGGATGATTAAATTACTGATTACATGATTTAATTTTATGTAAATTCAGTTTCTCTCGATGAAACTCACGGCAGCAAGCACGTTTTATGACTTCAACTCAGAGACTGATGCAATGGACTCATTGCAGGTAATATAAATAAATAAATATATATCTAATAAATTGTGTGAACATTAAAATAATGTATCTAAGTATGGTGTGATTAATTTGGAAAATTAAAATTAATTAAATATTTAGTTTTTTTTTTTTGTCAGAGGGCCAAGGCACGTGAGGCAGTGGAGATGGGGAGACAAGTGAAAGATGGGGATGCTGTCCTCCATTCGTCATGGACCCTTTGACTTTTGTTTTTTTCCTACTCTCTCTCTATATACTTTATTTTTAAATATATATATAATTTAATATAATTTTTGAGTTTTAGATTATAAACACTTGAAGATATATATACACTTCTGATGATTTGGTGTATGACCCCCCAATGATAAGATATTTTTAATTTTGTATACTTGTAATTTCTACGTACGTGAAACTTAATTTTGTAATTTACAAAGAGAATATTGTTAAACATAAAAATATTTGTTGAATATTTGTCCTTTTCTTTCTTTCTTTAATATTTATTCTCTAGCTTATCAGAGGAATAATTTGGATGAATTTAATTTCAAGTTCCCATGATGAATATATATATATATACAACATTAAGATTATTATTCGGATCATTACTATGTACATATATAAAACTCAATATTATATAAATAAAATCCCCCGAAAATAGAAACTACACTATTTTAGGAAATGAGTGAATTGATAAAAAAGTCGAATGAGATACGTGACATATATAATTATAATACTTCAAGCCATAATATCAATGAAGTGAAATCCATCTATAACCCAAAAAAGATACGTAACTCTTTTATAAAAAAAAATAAAATAAAGACACGTAACTCTTATGCAAGCAAACTAAAACACACAACAAAATCCTTGAATTGATTTGACTCCAAAAAAAAAAAAAAAAAACGAACGAAACAAAATATTCAAACACAAACAAAGAGATACGTATAACAATAGACTCGTGAAATCTTGGGACCAAAGTTTTTTTTTTTTTTTTTTGTTGTTGTGGTTTGACTCAAAGTCAAATATGCACAGAAACAAATGTAATAAGATCGATGAGAGCAAAAACTGGAACTGGAACTGTGTTCTGTCTTTGGAGTATCTAATTTGTCGGAGTGAAATGACAGAAATGCCCAGGGAGCTGTAGCTATCGAAGACGATGATGATGTCTCCGAAACAAAACACAACGCGGGTTGTGATGGGAGCCTATTGGACGTGTTTTGCTTCAGAGTCACCAAAAACAATAAAAACCCTTGGCTCGAGTTCATGGAATCTGATGGATGTTGCCAATTCACAATCTTTATGATTGGGTTCATAATAGTGCCTACACAAATTTATGGGATTCCATTTTTATAAGGGAAAAAACCAATATATATATATATATATATAGAGAGAGAGAGAGAGAGACTATGTGTATATATATATATATAGAGAGAGAGAGAGAGAGAAAGAGAGAGTTGCTGTGTAATTTGGTTGCTAGTTTTCATATTGTTCTCCATAACGTGAAGATGTGTCTTCGCACATGACAAAATAGGTCAATTTAGATATGATACTGTGTCTATACATGGCTTTTCACTTGCATATGGCAAACACGTTTTTGGATTTGATTTAATATCTGAGGAAATAATATTGAACATTGTGTGTGTGTGTGTATATATATATATATATATATATATAATACTTGAGGTTTATCCAATGGATGAAAAGTTCAAGTTCCAAGCATTTCATTTCACCGCCAATTTTAAAAAGTGTCATTCTTGTTTCATCAATTTCAACACAATTTTAAATGGTTTTTCATTTTCATTTCCATATCAATTAAATACTAACGTAATGAAAGTTAAATTTATAACATGGATGAAAATATCATCAATCACATGATAAACTTTAAAAAAAAATGATGACCGTATTTACCGTCTCTATAAATTACATAAAACGCCTTTAATTCATACTAATATTATCGAATTTTGATTGGGGGCAAATCTTATAAACAAAAATAAATATTATCTAATTCTCCATGAAATATATTAGATATTATTGACAAATTTATTAAACCCATGCTATTTCCTCTGAATTGTATATAAAAATGAAATCATATGAAATACAAAAGCGGATCCTTCACTTTCTCTCTTTACATTAAGAACAAATAATTAAATAGAAAGATGGGATAAAAGCTAAGCTTTTACAGTTGAGAAGTTTACATTTGTTGCTTTCAAACTGATTTATGGCTTTAGGATTTATCAAAGTGTAGTAAAGGAAATAATAAATAAATTAATAATTAAAATTAATTTTTTGAAAAAAGAGAGTAGATGCAATGAATCCATGAAACTGGGAAGGAAGGACAGCTTGAAATGGGCCATTCATTGCCCTAAAGACGATTGAACCATGTGGGGTTTTGTCACTTCTTCCTACTGCTTAATTCATATATTTATATATATATATATGTATAAAAGATTACTCTATTATCAATGTTCTAAGTTAAGTATTTTATTTTAGATTTTGTAAATATAATGCATAGAATTTGTATTAAATATTAAATACCTAATAAATGGACATAATTTTGTATACAATGTTTTAGGTGAGATGGTATTATTTTTTTTAGAAAAAAAGTTAGAGAAAAAAACCATGAAACGGATAATGTTTATAATTTTATTAAAACTAATATTTGGTAATATAAATTATCAAATCTTACAAAGTCCTCACAAAAAAGACATTTTACTTTTAAATTAGAATTAGAGTGTAATATTAGAAATAGTTTAAAAAAAACTGCTGTTTAAGTGTATTAATATTCAGTAAAAAATAGTTTAGCTATGACTAACATGAAATTGGGAAATCAATTATTTTAAAATAAAAGATACAATATTATTTGAGTTTTTCTTTGTGAAAGAATTAGTTATTCTTGTCAATTCATTATTATGATATTGTTTTAATAAAAAAAAAGGAAATCATAATTCATTCTCTACAGATTTTGTATTATGCAAAAGCCACTTCTTTGTGAGATTTGGTTTCCTCTATTTTTTGTACTTTTTTTTTGTTTTATTTCATCTTAGAATCCAAAAATATATCTTCTTTGACTGCCTTTGGACCAAAGTCTATTTGGTTCTTTCTCCTCGAAGCATAGAGATGTGCATGAACTATATAAGCAAAAGACCCCTCGAAAAAAAAAAAGGTTGGGGTCCCTTTTTAATTGTTATTAAATTATATATATTTTATTGATATTTATTTTACTTTATATTTCCCAATGATTATAAATGATTAAAAAATTTCAGGTCTCTAATCCCAAGTTCTATAATTATTTCAAGTAATTAATACTTTTTGTTGCCATGTTAACATAACACTAGTTTATCTATAACCATCGTCATCATCACTAATCATTCGTCAAACGTGGTACATTCATTAATTGAAACATAATATGTGATTAATCAATCTAATTCGTCTAATAAACGACTTTAGTAAGACATTTCTACGAATATCTTCAAATCTTATCAAAACACAAGTATTAGCATAATTTATTTGACAATATAGAAAATTTATAAATAATAGACCTAAAATATTTCTATAAATTTCCTGAAATTTGTTGACCGAACCTTAATTAGCACGTGGATGGAAATTTATATTTGACATAACTTTAAATGAAAGATTGTGTGAGTGCAAAATCTTTGTTAATATACGATTAGTTATAACAAAAGAAATATACCCAACAAATATGAATTTTAAATTATAGCTAAATTATTTTTTTAAAACAATAAATTCAAGATGTGGGGATAACAAGGGAAGTTTATAAAATAAATAAATAAATAAATAATATTCCCTAAAATATTCCAAAAATAGATTTGGTGATCACATCATTGGGTGATAGAGAAATGATATGGGCAAGTTCAAGCATCCACAAGGAGAAAATAAGGGGTGGGGACCCAACCACCGGAATCGAGGAAGTGGATGAGAGTGGAGTGGTTAGCTTCCCAATCTCATTATGTAACCAACACAAATCTTGTTTTCCCATTTTAAAATTTTATCATATAATAATCCAAATCTCTTTGTGCATGCACTTCTCTCTCTCTCTCTCAATTTTTTCTTGTAGCATCTTAGATTAGTGTAGTTTGATATAATATTGACATTAAACATGCACGCATTATGCTTTATTTTATTTTTTTGGGTCAAATATCATATGATTTCCTGTCACTTAAATTACAGTAACAAATATTCCCTAGTAATCAAATTTGTTGTAGTTCCTTTTTTTTTTCTCTCTGACGTATTGGCACAATTTAGTCTTGCAATCTAGGTTATAAATGTATTATGACTTGTTACTACGAACTATGATAATTTTATAAATGTAAAAATCTTAAAAATAGAAGAAGAAAGCTAGTAAATGTGATCAAAAGTAAAAGCCTTCAACATTTAAAAAAAAAAAAAAGAAATCTACAAGTTTCTCAAAAGAGATTTTCCCGACAAGACAGAACACAACACAGCTAAAAGTCAAAGAGAACATGATCAAGCAGAAAAATAACAGAGAGAAAATAAAGGACACTACTACAGGCCTTTGGTTTGGTGTTTTATTCAATGGCGAAGAAGCTGCTGAAGCTGGAAGACTTGGTTCCTTTGCTCGGGAGGCAGCAGATTGATCTGCTCTTGTGTAAGGCTCATCACCTGTTGCAGCAACGCCTTCTCCATCTCCGCCGTCAACTGTTAAATTCCAGCAACATTCAAAACCCACGTTAGAGAAAAAACCCGACATTCATTCGTTTCAATGATCGTTGTGATTCAGCAAAAGGAAAACCCGGCATTCATTCATTTAGAATTCAGCAGATAACGCGGCCCCTGACTATACTTCGGACTTAAATCACGGGCATCTTCTATGGTTAATATAAAGACTTTGATTTGATCCATAAAACACAACATTTTCTGTGGGAGGCCTTATATCAGGATCAACTGTTAAAGCCTACCCGAGAAAACATCATCATCATCATCCAAGCCTTGCCATATGTATACTAGTGTTACTTAACATCGCTGTTTTGTTCAGTGGTTTGTGCCATTCAAAATAAGTTGAGGTAAATTACCGGTGCAGGCTGAGCAGGTGGAACACCCCCCTGGCCAATTAGGCCCGGTGGAGGAACTGATACTGCACCCGGAAGTTGATTCATGATTGAACCCTCTGACTGACCGGGCATCCAAGACGACCCTCTTTCAGCTGCAATGGGACCTCCGGCTTTGTCATTATATTCTCCGCCGAAAGGAGGACCACCACCCTGAATCAAAAAAATACAAGTATGATTATGGTGAACAGTTGCAAAGGCGAAAGGAAAATCTGCATGATTCTCGCCAAAATTATCTTCGGAGTGTACTCCAACATAGCTAAATCAGGATGACAACAAACAGAGATGCAAAAAAGAAAAAAAAAAAACAGGCCAACGATGGAGAAACAGAATTGTTGCCAGGGCCAAAATGGGCATGTGGCTAATTATAATCTACTTTTCTCTTAAACTCTTTCTCCGCCTCTAGATTCTATTGACATGATAGTAAATCAAAACTATGGTCATCATTGATCATAGTTGAAAGTACAACAATGAAAAAAATGTTTAAAAAGTTCCTTGACAAAAGAGTGAAACTGGTCATGGACAGCTGACAGCTACGGCGCAATAAAGAACACATAGAACATCACACAAGCACTGTTCTCAAGCATGTATAACTATGCTGTAAAACACTAAAGAAAATTTTGAAAGCAGGTAAATGAAATGAAGCTATACATACATGGTATGGTGGCTGACTAGGTAGATGTGGCTGTCCATGTGGGAATTGAGGTCGGCTCCCAGCAGGTCGGGCGCCTGACTGAAATTTTCATAAACAAAGACCTCTATCAACTCCAAATATGAATCAAGAAGCGAAAGCTCAAGAGAATGGATTTTAGCAGCTCGTAATTCTGACTCACATGAAATATGGGCTGTGAAAGATGCTGCGGAGGTGCACCATGGTGCTGAAAACCTACATTGGGCCCTGTCTGGGCTGGTCCGAACTGATGATGATACGATGGCATCGAAGATGGTCTAGGCTGTGGAGGCAGTGGCTGTTGCGGAGGCAAATGAGGAACTCCACCTGAATGCATTGGTTGTTGCAATTGAGTTGAGGAAGCAGGGATATCGAGATGGTGAAACGGTGGTGGCTGTGATGTAGAATGAATAGAAGCTGGAGGTGCACTTTGAACTTGAGAAGACTGAGGAGGCGGCAAAGTGACTGCGGGGTTAAAATGCTGCTGGCGCTGAGAAGGTTTGTTGGTAGCGGGAACAGAAGACGGAGGCATAGGCATTGGCTGTGGCATCGGGTGCTTTCTCAGAGGGGCTTGAGGCTGTGTTGTAACTATCGGCTCTTGTAAGCCACCTTGTACAGAAGATATAGGGGTTTGTATGTTTGACTTTGGTGGAACAGCTTGATGAGACTGTTGAGGTTGTTGTGATGCCTGTGGCTCAATTTTTGGAATCTAGACAACAGAATTACAACTTTCAGCTGTATGAAACTAATACAATGATCAAAAACAGATTCCCAAAGACCAGAGCTTATACCACTTGAGGCGGCTGAACCATTCCGAGCATGATTTGTGCCTGCCATAGTGGGGTAGATCAACATATAAGTATAGCGAGTATAAAAAGTGACATCATAGTTCTATATAAATTATCACCTTCGCTATTATCGGTCACAGACTAGAAGGCAAAGTTGAAGAAAAAACATAGATTTACATAGTTCAAACTCCAAAGAAATGCATCGAGAGGAGTTTAGCTAAAGGCTACAAATCTACATCAATTCCCACCAACGCCGAGAAAAACTTATACTATCATTCCTTGACAATAAGCCTAAAGTTAGGGCATAATTGAAACCCAGAAACACCATGCCCTTAACAACTCGAGACTTCGCCACCATCGAGAGAAATTCACCAACTGAAGCTACCACGAATCCAACAAGTCGGCAAACCAAAGTGCAAAAATCATTGAAGACTATGTAGTCTTTAAGTACAATTCAGTAAATTCATCAACCAGATCACAATTGAGGGTTACTAGGTTGGAGAACAACACAAAACCCTAATGTTCACCACCACAAAACAAATTCAGTTCAGACAATCACACTAAAATGATCAGTTTGTCAGATGAACGTATTTACAAATTTAGAGCTAAAAAAGAAACGGAAGAGGATGAAACCTGGAAAAGAGCCTTCGTCAAAACAGGGTTCTGAATCAGGATCTCCCTTGCTTGTTGCTGGTTCTGATCAATCAGTGCCTGAAACAGAGAAATTCAAACGATGAAACTCGCATATCCTCCACGAATTTCCTCGCTAATGCCTTCGAAGGCCCAGAGAAATCCGGAGGAAGAGCG